GAAGCCAACACATTAAGATAATTAAAGTATACAGGTACTTGATAAAAGTGGTTTCTGTTGAAATAAAAGTGATTTGGACATGAATGAAAAATTGATTTTATCGTAATTCAGGAGAAAGAAAATAGGTGTTACTCTGGGTTTATTGATTGATTGGTTTTACTTTCAGTGTGTTCTATTCTATTCATTTAAGAGCTGTCCCTTGGTACTGTCATTATTTGAATTTTTTTTCCAAAAGACAGTAGTAAGGCAGTCAGTTTCCTCTGGTTCTTTGCAAAATCAAGATATTGTTTGGTGCTAATTTTTCTCATGGCCATTGAGTCTGCAATGTCAAGAAACCTGTTAGTTTAAGTTTATTCTGCTTTCCTTGATGCATTCTGTATCTTTTTTCTTTTAAATCAGAAGATTCTTGGATTGCTTCCTCTTTTTCGCCATGTCTTTTTGTTCTGTTACTTTAACTTAATGCACAAGTGTTTAAGTCCTTTTAGAGGTGTGATAGTTTTTCTTACAATTAATTAAAGGTTTTAAGTTGAGATAAAAAAGTCAGTGTCATGAGCGGGATTTGAACCCATGACCTTCGGCTTGATACGCCGCTACTCTACCACTTGAGCTATCGTGATTTTGATCCCCTTGGGCACCAACTTCCCATCTCAACCCCACCTTTTGAATTTTCCCTCCTTTTTGCCAGTTTTCTTACAAGCTTGCTTCATTTCACATGTCCAGGAACCTAGTAACTCTAGAATACCAGACTTAAAATTTGGTCGTTTCCAATCATATTGGTCTTCCGATGCCCACTGCTTTAGTGATTCATATATGTGTCAACTTCTCGCCATGCTCAGTGCTGAGGCATACCAAAACACATAAGTATTGGCAGATCAAAATGATCATAACTGATCCAACTTCATTTATGTTTCAACAAGTTCATCACCCACAAACACCCCAAAAAAAATCTCACAACCTAAGTTATTTAGTTTTCCAGTTCAGGACCATATTTTTAGCTGATGTTCAAGTTTATGCCTCGGACCCAATAGTCTTTAGTTTGTATATTAAGTCGAGTACTTGAGTACTTTGGGTTTGAAAGATATTAGAGCCCATGACCATGGTTTCTCAGTACCTACTTAATTTTGGAACCAAACCGTTTTGGTTTTAAGGCTTGTCTAGAAGTGGCTGAATTCAAATACCTTGTTCATATCATCTCGTGTAGCAATTAATATCAGATATTATCTCATTAAGGTGGTCTTATGCTTTCATTTATGTTTTAACCCTTCTAGAATTTTTCTTCCTTTGTGGCTGTGGTTTTTATCGCTCCTGTGAAATAAAGTGGGTGTATAGGACAAGGATTGTAGCATTCATTGATGATTTGGTCCTCTTAGTCTACACCCCAAGCATTTAAAACCACGAATGAAGAATAATTTAAGTAAGAAGTTTAGACAAATTAAATTTAAAACAATGAAGAAGAAGAAAGAAAGGAAAAAGAGAAACTAGTATAGTATCAAAACCAAGTAAGAAAAGAGTGCAGAAAAAATTAAGGAGCAAAGAAAAATTTGAGCTATTTTCATTTACGATTATTGTGACATTTCCTCCTTGGTTGATGAACTAATTAATTTTTCTCATTGCTGATAATTTTGGTCTTCTTACCCTCACTGGGTTGGTCTGGCAAACGCGTTTTGGCATTTTGCCATCTTCAGTGTTGGAAGCTGTTCTAATAAATCGATATTATAAATCATAAAAAAGAGCACAAAGCTGCAAGACAAACAAACAACCTTGCTTGGCAAACATGCTGATCTGGCAGGCCAACACACTGAGGATAGGTAGACCAAAATTATCAGCAATGAGAAAATTGAGAGAATTTTTTATTATAGATGACTAGCAAATTAGGACAAACGAAATTAGGAAGGTTGAGATTACTAATGCCTTGATAACTAAACTAGAGTAAGAGTAATTTTTATGTGGGTTAAAATTCATTTCACTGATAACACAAATAGATTTTTAGGTAAAGATTAAGGTGAAATTAGTGTGTCAGGTCATAAATCATACAATGGAAAGAGATATAATCATTTGAAGTAGGTCGGAACAAAACTTTAGCCATCCAACTTGGCTGAAGCATCTTTGATCAAGTCAAAAATTTATAGTTTCTAATTCTAATAAAATATACGGCCTTGATTTTACCATCCTTGTAGTCATTAAATTTTTTCTTTGCGTATATGCAACATCATTGCAGGTTTTGGAGTATAAAAAGGTCTGTATATTAAAAAGAATTATTAATCCTGTTTTAGATCATGTAGATTTGATTAGAGCAGGAGTCCTAGTTGAGCTGCCTAGAGCACCTCACATTAAGCTTAAGACTTTTTACTATCCTGAAGCTTTATCAAGGACTCCCATGTGCTTCCTTCATACCCGAGCTTTTCCTTTCCCAAAAAATGGAATTTCAGCTTGTATAAGCCTTCTCAGCAATGTAGGGCATGTTCTGCTCTCTTCTTCTTCCTGACAAAATCCACTGAGTCCAGTTAGAACTCCAGCTCCTAGATCTTAGATTTTGTAGTTCTGTCGTTAGTTTCAGTGACGGCCTTTTGATGAGCTTTGCTGTGTGCCTCTGTCCTGGGCTACATTCCCTTGAACTTAGGACTTATTTTAAATCCATTGTCTTATTCCTCGTTTTTGACAGTTCGGTATGCCACAAAAGTGTTCAGTATCAATAGTTGTCCTCCTTGAACATTCCTTGGCCAATTTATATAGCCTCTTCATTCTCTTCTGCCTTATGTGCCCTGGTACCCAAATAATTTTGTTTTCTCTAATGCCTGGCAAGATCAAATTTTCTTTTGTGCATATGCAACTTTTTCTTTCCAGGTCAATGAATGTATTAAAAGATTTGTATATAAAAAAATTACTAATTCTGTTTTAGTTTAGATTATTTAATTATTGTCTTAATTGATCTAACTATTAAAGAGGGGGGCATAAGGCTGAGTGGTTAGGGTGTTCGGCTTGTGCTTATTAATTGATAACGGTATGAAAAATGTAAAGATATTTGATCCCTCATCTGCAACACCCAAGTTGACAGAAGTTAAGCTCACCTGTATGACGAATTATTTTCGACAATTCGAGAAACTGCGGATAAGAACAAATATATTAACCAATAATGTGTCAAGTGGCAGAGCTCATAGAAAACTATGCGGTTGAGATGGGAAGTTGGTGTCCGCTCGTGCCATTGACTTTTTTATCTCAACTAAAAACCTTAATTAATTGTAATATATCAAGCAGACCACGAAATTAGTGAATTTCATAGAAAAGTCGAAAAGGCCTTCAACTCGATCGATTATGGACAAATGTGGCTCATTCTGTAAAGTTATGGTATATCACTAACCAAGGATACAACTGTCAAGTGATCCATAAAGTAAAGTTTTCAGAACAGTTCAACGTGGACACAGGAGTTAAGCACGGATGCATCTTGTCACCCACCCTCTTTATCCTAGTAATGAATGCAACCATGTGCATATCCCAGGACGGAAGGAAAAGGATTTTGCTGACAACTGTCTTTTAGCACCAAGGATGTGACCTGCAAGCCCTACACTACAGCCAAAGGGGTAGCTTTAAAAATAAATGCTAAAAGAAGGAAATGAGAATAAACCCTAGAAGTTATAGCCAATCTGAATCAGTTGAACCTACCTAGGAAGCATGGTGTCAAAATTAGGAGGTACTGAGGATGATGTGAAAAGTAGAATTATGAAAGCCAACTGTGTATTTAGACAATTATATCTGAAATGAAGAACCATTCCAGGCGAACGAAACTTTGACTCTTCAACACAAATGTAAAATCCATCCTATTGGATCGTAGACTTAAAATTTTTTGTGTACCGCTGCCTGTGGCGGATTCACGGAATATGATAGCTTGACCAAATAAGCAACGCATTGCTCCGGAAAAGAACTGGGCGACTTCTCATACGTGCTGAAATATACAAAAGAAAATGGTCAAGAATAGGGCATAACTGAGAAAAAAGATATGGCATCGTCGAGAAAAGTGCTCTTTGGAGGAACCCACAAGAGTAATGTGACCATGGAGACAATCACTGGAAAAGGAACTTAGGATAGTCAAGAAGTCATGTAGAGAGGCCAAGAGTCTCTCTTAATAGAGACATATTGTAGAACTTTTTACTCGCCCTGTGATCCACTGTAACAGTCAGTAAAAAGAATAAGAAGACTATTTTTAAAGAAATGTAAGAACAAATATTAAACAAACCCCAGCAATCTAAAAGGGTGTCGAATAATAAACCAAAATGCAACTTAGTTTTGTATTACCATCAGATATTACAATAGAAAATATATTTTGCTTTTCCACAAACTCATTAAACATTGAATTACTTTTATTTATCTTTTTTTTATAGAAAGTTTATATAACATGTATTATGTAAACATCAAATAATAAATCTAACGTTTGAAATGTTTTAAAATCTTAGGAAGTCCTTAATATTTAGCTAAAAATATTTTAACTGCTATTTATTTACAAGTTTGATTATTTTTTAATTTTTTTTTTGTTATAATCTCTAATTTCAGTTTCAACTGAAAAGAAGATAAAATCTTTCCCAAATCCTAACAATCAAAGAAATTGTTTGTATATATATGTTTATACATATATATAAACATTTAAATACAGTGTGAACAAAGGTAACAATATATATTTATAATTTATAACAGTGAGTAATTATACATACAGTTTAACACTATTTCAACACTACAAGGCAGTGCTTGTATTTTTAAGTCAAGCAACAAAGCCTTTTTTGTTTTTCCTTTTTGTACAGTTTTACATATACAAATAACAAATTGATAAAAATCTCATACTTGTCATTTTGGAAGTTTTCTTTTGTGTTATTAGGGCTAGAAAATAAATCGCTAAGCGTTTTCTTTCATTAAAGACAATTTTCTTTTCTTCGCTTTGTAAAATCATAGTTTTTTTTAAAATATTTTTTTATTAGTGTGGTCAAAACAAAAGCCGGTTCTTAGCAATTTAGTTTTTACACAGCCATATTATATCACACATTTTAGAAGGATTTTTTTTTTTTGTGAAGTTTTTCTTGTGAACAAGTATGAGCTTTTTATTGAGGATATGGTTTTCCTTGGAAATTTCATCTGGCAAACTTCTAGATCTCGCGGTACAACCAGCAACCTTATAAAACTCTATTTTCTATCCCATTGTATTACACTTAAGGTAAGTCGTTTTATTAACATTATCAAATATTGTTTATTGTATATACAAACAATACATTATATAAAAATTATGTTAAGCAACACTGACTTCCTTTATGAAAGTTTATGTACACAAACCCTTTATTTTATTACAGGTCCTAAAATAAACAGGATGTGTATTTGCTAGTGTATCATGTGTCTTTTTTTAATAATAATAATAATAATAATAAAAAGAAATAAGGAAGCCCAATAAAATAAAACAATTCATTTATCAGGATTTGTATACTTGTGTCAAAATGTATACAGTGATCTTAAAATACAAACATTAATATTAATCACACAGCTGATTAACCAGTATCAGTATATAATATATATATTTTTTAGATCCAATTATGTAGTTAACCACTACAGATACAAAAATTAACTAGAAATATAGATTTCAGATTATTTATATAACATTTTGTCTCCCACAAGATCTGAGATGTTTGCTTGTATTTTATACCTTTACCTGGTAACCATTAAAAATATATGCAACCATGTTTACTACGAGCGCTTCTATAAAGAGTATTATAAATCAACAATAACAACGAAATTTAATAATAAACTAAAAAATTTAACCTGAAGGGGAGGGAGGGGGTGTTTAAAAAGATTAACACAAAACAAAAGAACAACGTGTGGAAGACGAATATTTACAAATCAAAAAACTGACTAGAATTTCAAAGGTAACATTTTTATTGTGCTTGACGTTACCACGAGCAAAAATTAAATTTATTGTCATTTATAAATAATGCTTTTGGGTCAGAAGGCCTTTGTTTATGAATAAATTTCAACTAATAAGAAAAATTTGAAATTTTTCAGGAAAACTAATTTTCACGTATTTTTTTTCTTATATAGTTATTAGTATCAAATGAAACAAAAATTATTCCAGCGCCTAATCTAATACACATTAGATCATATCTTTAATATATAGTGTGTATGAACAGAGATATGATCTCTATTTACAATGACTAACATAATGAAAATATTATATACATACAGCAATTATAGCAATCTATTCAGACTACATTTTTCTTTTTCTTATAGCTTATGAAATATAATTATAGTCTTATATTTTAATTTTAACATTCCTGTTTTCTTGAAAAAGTGATAACTCTTTCTAATATTAATTACTAATTAAAGCACAGTTTAACAGTATGTATTTACTGCGACTATTAAATTGTGCCATATATTTGAACAAATAGTGCATTCATTTTATGTTTAAAATTCTCTTTAGTCTTAGCCAAAGTTGAGGCTCTTAAGTTTACAAAACGTTTAAAACACACACAAAAAAAAAAAAAAAAAGAAATTAAAATAATATTTAAACCTTTCATTTTATTTTTAATGATTTGTTTTTAATAATATTCACTTTATATAATCTGTTACTTTTGAGTCCCAAATTTGGCCGTTACAAATTTAATTATAAAAAGGAAATTTCAACTAATGCAAGAATTCTCTAATCAATATCACAGAATCTTAAAGTTCTGCACAAGTTATTCTCTTTTATTTATTTATTTCTTTATTACTTTTGCTTAATTCCGAAGAAAAGATACATAAGAGGAGGTAGTTGAAGAAAAAGAAAACTAAATTGAGTACTTCATATTTGATACCATTTTTTGTCTTTGTACTTGAGCATTAGACCGTGGGCAGAGGACTGGAAAGTTTCCGCTTCATTCATCATCCTCGCCGTCCTCTCCTCGAGCTGGGACAATTTTTCCCCTCTTTCGACGACCATCTGGTGCGCTTTGGCGATCTCGCCGCAGGCCTTTTGAGAGTTTGAGTCGAGGCCTGCAATTCCGGGTATGTGTTTGGCAATCGTCCTCGAGGCTTTCCCGCTCGATGCTTCTCCAACTGGATTATTTTTAATAATGCGAAATCAATTAAATAATTAATTAATGTATCATTTGTAATATATATAATATTATATACATGAAATTTAAGATAAAAAGGTCAGTGATGCGATTGACATACAACGCAGGGTGAGTTTAACTTATGTTCCCTCCTATTCGTATTCATGATGTGAATGAAAAACAAACGTACAATGTACAAAATACTACAACTAATTTGGACATAAGGGACAGAACTGAGAAGAACCGTTCAATATCCATCGTATCCAAACCTTTCAATGTAAAGCTGAAGGTAAGCAAAGGAATATTTTATGGGAGTCTTTCTTGGCATGGCGCAAGCGTTCGACCACATATTCGTACTCCAGTACAAATTGAGGTGTATCCTTCCTACCCTTTAGTTAATCCTCCGTTCTTATCTAACAGAGCGGTTCTTTCAGGTCTGATAAGGATCTCTGAAAGGGGGAGTGCTAAAAGGCAGTGTGCTTGGACCAATACTGCAGATGTTTCCGCTACACCTACCACCCTCCTTGCATCCTTAGCTTGACAGCTTTACTGACTCAGATCCTGTGGTTGTTTCAGAGGATCTGCAGAGATATATCACATATATGACAAGTGCGACAATGGAAAATGAAGATAAATTGAACTCTGAAACAAATCTCCCCTCATTATCTTTTATAACAATCTTCCTATCCCCAAATCCTTTGGGGTCGTTACTTTTGGTTCAACCTAGATTCCCACTTAATATGAAATAAGTGCACAACTGAAATGACAAGACTCAAACAAATTTATCAGACGACCAAGCTATCGACAAAAAACAAACAATATACAAAATTACAATTAATTAAGGTTTTTAGTTGAGATAAAAAAGTCAATGGCACAAGTAAGATTCGAACCCACGATCTTCGGCGTGATACGCCACTGCTATACCACTTGACCTATCATGACCTCGATCCACTCGGACACTAACTTCCCATCTCAACCGCACCTTTTGCATTTTCCCACCTTTTGCATTTGTCGTCGAGAATCCAACCTGATTACACAACATTTGAAAAATGGCAAAAAGGAGGGAAAATTCAAAAGGAGTGGTTGAGATGGAAAATTGATGGCCGAGTGGATCGAGGTCACGATAGCTCAAGTGGTAGAGCAGCGGTGTATGAAGCCGAAGATCGTGGGTTCGAATCCCGCTCGTGCCATTGACTTTTTTATCTCAACAAAAAACCTTAATTAATTGTAATATATTAATTGGTCAAGCGGACCACGAAATTAGTGAATTTAATTCTTCTCAAAATGCAACTATAGCAATTTAGACATATAGACTAGAACTGTGTGAAACTCCCGTCTTTCAATATCCAACTAATCAAATCCTTTTAATCTCAAGTCTTCACATCCATTGGCAATTCTTCTATCTAAGGGAAAGCAAAGAGTGTTTGGAACTGCATTGAGGCCTGGCAAAAGTCAGCGACACTAATGACCTGACCCTGGCATGGGTCCCTGGACATTTGGGGCATAATACATTCCCGGAAGATAGCCATCTTCTTTGACAGTGAGGCAGTGCTAAAAGTAAAGGCCCTAGACTCATGCGAGATGAAGTCAGAGTGTTTGGAACTGCATTGAGGCCTGGCAAAAGTCAGCGACACTAACAAAAAACCTGTCCCTGGCATGGGTCACTGGGCATTCGGGCTTAGAGGCAACAAAAAGGTTGACATGAGGGCCAAAAAGGGAGACAACATGGCCCAGAACCCTACTGCAGCCTAGCAGCCTGCCACAAAAGAGGATATATCTTAAAATGGATCGGTTAATGAGTCCAAAACCTGGTGGAACAATTCCACAGTATGAGGCACGCGAAGAGATTCATAGAAGGACCATCTGCAAAACTTACAAAATAATTACTGGAAGGCAACCGCAAACGAAACAGGATTCTGGTTGGACTCCTGACAGGGCACTGCCACTTAAGAAAGCACATGCATCGGATAGGAGTACAGGCAGAAGAAACACTGTGCAGATACTGCCAGGAAGAGGAGTCCACCGAAGAACACATTTTAGGTTTCTGCGAAGGTCTATGTAGGTGCAGGTTCTTTCAACTAGGACAAGAAAAACCACAAGCAAGACCCTACACCAAGGAACCGTTGGCAAAGCTGTGGAGTCTGATTAATAACCTGAAGCTGGCCAGTGGGTTGTAATTAACAGAGGAGCACAACAGATCTAATTAAGTCGAGGTGCAGTAGGCCTTGTGGCCGCCTCTCTTATCCCTATCCCTATCTTTTACTTCCATTATAAATGCTCTGTATTGTCTCCAATAGTGCCCTCCACAACGATCATAAAATCTCAGTTGTCCAAAAATTTACCAAGTTCCATAATTATCTCTCCCATCATCCCCTAATAGTCTTACCCAGGCTTTGTCCAGCAGATCTCATCCTTACAATCCCATAAAGCGTCTCAAGAGGAAATGGCCACCTTTTACCTCCTTTCCGAGGAGTGATAGTGAAGTGTAATTTGCCAACTGAAGTGGGAGAATAATATTGGCTATTTACTCACCTCAATTAATAGTTGTAAATAGTAAATATCTCTGTATGTCATGAAGTTATATATTGTAAACAGAAATTGCAGAATGCAATAAAATATTTTTAAAAATGGTTTTTATGAATAAAAAAGATCTAACTCACAAGATAATGTGATATGTACAAGAAACTTAACTATTTCAAAGTCCAAAATAATATTTTTTCCCAGGGGCAATCTCATCGATATTGTAAATGAATACAAATATTTAGGAGTCATATTTACCCTGAGACTCTCTTGGCCAAAGCACTTCTCTTGGAAAGCGTCAGTGGCTAAATTAGGTCTAAATAATACATGGTCAGCCTTCTTACTCAAAGAAACTATCCCTATTAAAATCAAGTTTAATATTTTTAAGGCGATAAGTCGTGCAATTCTGTGCTATGGCTGTCAAATGTGGGGATACCAGAGGTTCGAAACAATAGAAAAAGTGCAACATTTTTTGTAAGAAAGTTATTCACATTGCCATCTGGTACACCAAACTATATATTATATTTATGGATTTATTTTTGGTGTATGCGCTTAAGCTTCACTACTCCTATATTGTGAAAGTTCTGATGTCTCCCGATACTAGCTACTCACAAATAACATCTTTGGCAGTAATAAAGATTAATATTTCATGGTTCGCACACTGGAAATATTTGTTTGAAAAGTACAACTTGCCCTTCCTCATATCCTTGGACAACCTCTGTGACTGGCATAATTATTTTTCAGTTCTTATCAATCAAATTAAAAAACAACATCACAAAGAATGTCACGTGTCCAAGCATCTCTCACTTTACAAGGAGGTACAAATTTCTCCTGCATTGTTCGACATGAAGATAATTTTGACGGTCTTTGTCTCAATGAGTTGGGATTGCTGTTTAAGCTAAGAAGTGAGGTTTTATATAGTAGTTTTATAGTTTTATAAAGTATTATTATTATTAACAAAATATTTTTTAAAAATGTCTCTTATGAGTAAAAAAGATCTAACTCACAAGATAATGGTATGATACTCATCAATGTACATTTTTTTAATGGTTTTTTGATGCTGAATTCAATCATGCAAATGGTATTTTATTTTAAGCAACCATTTTTAACTTATTTGCAAAAAACTGTTTTTTGCACAGTAAATTACTTACTCATGGTACAGAAATAAAAAGAAAAAAAGGAACAAATAATAGAAATAGGTGGAATATAAGTTAAACTCACCCTATACATTGGTTACGTATGTGTATTAATTAATTATTAATTAATTTTAAAGCAATGGTATGATTTTGAATTCAGTAATACTTACACAATTCTTCTCGGTCCAGAGATCTCGCTCCTCCACCGAACAATCCTTTGAAAAAACTCTCTTTTGGTGGCTCGGGCATATCATGGGGGAGAAAAAGTTCCCCGACCATCTCACTAAGACTAGAACTGTGTCAATGCTCAATTATCACGATGATCACGAACATTATAATTTTTCTATGAAACAATTTACAAACCAAAAATCGGCGGAGACTGAAAACTTCTGTATTTCAGTCGGCGAGCATAGATATAATCCATTGCCATGATTGCTAAAAGAAAATGTTCTCGCGATTCTGTAAAAGAAAGGGGGACAAATTTCAAAACCTGCCCTTTGGTTTTGGTCTACATCAAATTATAGCCCTTTTCAAAGAAAATCTAATACAAAACTCTGTAAAAATGTAAAAATTAAAAAAAAAAGTTGTACTCATTAAATTATGGAGCGGGCCGTGTATATGTATACGTGTCAATGTCCATTGTTTTTTTTTTTTAATTTTATTAATTTTTTTATAGTTTTTCAATTAGGAGTAACAAATGTAAATGTATTGAAAAATTCAAGGGAAAATTGTGCTTATAAAAATTTTAAAGTGCTTTTATTATTAGATTTTTAAGAAGAAAAAAAAGGGCATAATTTAGATAGAAGAGAGTGAGAAGTAATTGTCTCTTCAAAGCATAACGACACAACATGCAAATTCCAACTCAATTATTAAAATTACAATATTTCTGCCATGTATTGTAATATCAAAGATGCACAAGATTTCATGCAGATCAAGTTATCGGTTTCTATACATAAATATATACATTTACAAAGAAGTTGCAGTATTAATCAAGGAAATTGAATACCACCAGAAATTAAAAAAAAAAAAAAAAAAAAAAAAAAAAAACAGATTTACATTAACTAAACAAAAACTATATGTACAAATTTCTAACTAGATGTTAGTGTAGTGGTGGAAGTAGTTAAAGATTACGTTCCAAACAGTAGGAGAGCAAACAAAGAAGACAAAAAGAAAAAATAGTCAAATCAATATTTAATAAAAAAGCAAAGGTAGACATATGCTGTTTGTATTTTATTTATTATAATGTAGTGTTGTATGTACAAGTCGCATACACGTGCCTTTTCAATTACTAAATAAAATATTGACAAAATGAAAAAAGAATTATGAGCACGTGTATGCCATAAAGTAATGTGTGGCCCACTTACTGGTCTGTATCCTCATTGACAAACATCTGTTGCCCCCAAATGGACAACATTGGGTCAACTATGCCCGGTTTCCGTGTCTGAAAACTAAACCCAACCTATGTTATCTTGCCTTTCACCAATTTTTCTTAATTTTTCTTCTTTAGTTTTATTTTATTTGTATTTTTTGGACTTTGGTGTATTTTAAAATATCTTGGATGTGGCAACTGGTGTAAGCAAAATTCAAAAATTTAAAAAAAAATTTACTTGGGGAGGAAAAAGTATTAGTGTAGAGTAGGAATTTTGTTATGGCGAAATTTTCTCTACACCGCTAATATATTTTCATCCCACAAGAATAATTAGATAATAATAGTTTTTCACTTAAACAAATTTAACGGATTGTACCCCTGACTTGTTAAAAAAAAAGTGTTTTCTGTTTAAAAAAAGTCATGGAATTTTCTAAACTCAAAATATTTGAATTTATCTAAAAACTATTTATTTAAAAATTAATTTGCTGCATGCCAAAATTTTAAATATATTTTAAAAACTGAATTTAATTATTCTATAATGTTATCAATTAAATTAGAAAAAGTTCAGAGTTCAAATAAGCAAAGTAAAAAGAAAATTTGTATAATAATTATAATAGTTTTACATGCTATAACATTAGCAAAACTTCAAAAAAATATAGAAATAAATATCAATGGTAAAAAAATAAATAAATAGAACAAATTAAAAATAGCATTTTAGCAAGCAGCTATCGTTTTTAACAATGTTAAAAATTTAATCCATGATTAATATTTATGTATTCGAAATCATATTGTGCGTTTACACTATTATTTAAATTATGACAGAATTTTTTTTTTTGTTATTTTAATGTTATTTAGGGCAAGATGGTCACACATAAAATACACTGTACATGTAAACACACACTCTCCCACACAAAAACAATGTGCCAGGTTTACGATTAAAGATGTTTAATTAAACATAAGAAAAAAGCAATTATGATTAAATTGGATAGATGGAAACTAAGAGGGAATGGTGAAAATGAAATGCAGTGTCATTTTTTTTAAAACTATCAAGTAAATGTGCCTTGTACATAATATAAGCGATAGAAACACTCTACTGGAAAAACACACTATTTTCAATATTTTTTATATGCTAATATTGTGAGAACACTGTGCTCGTAAATCGTGTAACATATGGAAATACTAAGTTACAATTAGTCCTGTATTCAATAATTGTGACGTCTGTTTACTCCATTGCTTACCCCAACAAGTTTTAGTCAAAAGGCATTTTGTGTTCAATATAATTTTAAAAACATCAGGTTATGCTAAAATCGTAAATTGCAAAATGGAGGGTGGGAAAAAGCGAAAATCAAATTATGTAAAATTGTGTGTACCAATGGCATTGATTAAAATTTTACCTTGAAAAAATATCTAAGACAGTTTTTCTTTGTTAAATAAACATTTATAGTTTATAATATGCACAAAAATAGGCCAATTTTGATATTAATATTATTTTTTCTCACAAAAGTTTTTAAAATGAATGATCATATGTAAAAATATACTTTAATATAAATAAAAATAAATCTTTATACCCTCCCCATGAAAAAGATTGCAACACCTTTAAATCTGTATAATTTTTAGTTTCTGACTACCAATGTTTTGTTTATATTAATAATCATACAGAAGGGCTTTACGTCCAACACATTGGGTTTGTTCACGAGGGGTCAAACCACTTTATAATACTTTTTTCATACTATAATCCATTAAAAAAAAACAGGATTTGAACCCAGAACTTCCAGCTTGGCTTGAATCAGACACCCTAAACATTCTGCCATCACGGTTATTTCTATTTCTTTAATAGTTGAACACTGGTGTTAATTAAATATTAGGGGATGGAGTATTAATGAGATCTTTTTCTGGATTAGTAAATTTTTTGGTATGCAAATCTTTTAATATATTCAAGACCTGCAAAGACAAAAAGTTACATGTGCACGAAGAATGGCCTTATCAGACATTAGGGAAATCAACAAAATTAATATATATATTTTTTTAACTTGATCCACTCTATTCCACAGACGGAGGCAACCAAAAACACTTTCACAAGTAGTCTTTATTTTAAACAAAAGTATCGATTGTAGGGTGCTGCCCACTGCCCAGGTTGTCCCTGCTGGGGAATAGAGTGGATCAAGATACAACAAATAAATTTTAATAACAACTTACAGAATAGAAAACAATATAGTTTTTGTTTTTTAATTATTTGGGTACCAGGGCACAGAGAGGCAATGAAGAGACCGATAAATTGGACAAGGAAAGTTCGATGAGGACACCTAATAGCACTGAACCCTTTTGTGGCAAACCAAGCTGCCAAAAATGTGGATCCATCAAACATGGATTAAAAATAAGTCCACCGTTCAATGGAAATATAGACAGAAGCGAAAAAGTTCATCAATAGACCATCAAAGAAACTAACATGTAGGATGTGTTTGGACATAATAAATATTGCACACTGCAGATATAGTCAGGAAGAAGAAGTGACTGCAGAACAGTCCTTAGTGCAAAGGCTTATGTAGGCTGAGATTTCTGCTCATGGGAGAGGATAAGCCCGGGCATGAAGGATACACATGGGATTCCTTGTGGATCTGGTTAAAAGTCTTAATCGTAAAGCTCAATCATAGGTTTAGACCACAATGAAAATGCACATAGAACAATATTGTTCATGCAGTTAGTAAAGAGGCTAATTCCTCCAATTTAACCTACATAATCTAAAACTGATTTATATAAGCTCAACTCTGCACTTGCATGTACATACATGCACAGAGTTGAGTTCATTTTTATAATTTACATTGAATTTCTGGTGGGCGTCAAGAAGTTTTGGCAGTCTGGGGTCAGACCTCGATCTTATTTGTCCAGTAGTTGAAATTGGGCTCCAAAGGCTCCCAACCAGTGTCTGCTCCCATCTGTGTTTCTGTAACTTTGCAAGGCCTATTCTTAATCAGGTGAGGATCATCCCTCTCCTACGAGACATATCTTTCAAGGGCAATCTTGAGACGTGAGTAACTGGAGGTTAATGAAAACAAGACGGCTAAAGCCATGAGGTTTCAACTTTCTGTCATGACCCAGCAATCTGGCACATTAATACTTCTTTATTACATTTTTAGTGTCAAAGGGCTAGATCATAGATGATATAGACCTCTAGACCTAAGTGTCCAGGTACCCTGACAAAGATCACCGTTTTGCCTTGACATTCCAGTTTTGGTATTTCTGATTAGCTGAACACCCATCAACATCCAAATCCTTGAGTGGACCAGCAAGAAATCCAGGTCTTAACCCAATCAAAACCTGGACAGACAGAACAGACAGGTTCAATCGCAGGATCAACCCACTACTACCCTCGAAACGCTAAAGGGTTGGAGAAGCGAGACAACATACCTCAGAATTTTCTACAAAAATCTTTGAGTATGCCAAAAAGGATAGAAGCGGCCATTAAAGCCAGAGAGGGGCTTTTATTAAATGCCATTTTAAATTTTAAAAATAAATAAACCAGTTGTATGTTCAGCTTAAAAAAATGAAATGTTTTCTAAAAAACTTTTTGATTTGTGTAAAACTATATGTTTTTGTAAAATACACAGAATCTAAGCGTGTTGCGACTTTTTAGACGGGAAGTATATTTATGTGATTTTAAGAGACAAACCATCTGCCAAAAGAAACCTTATTTTATAGAAAATCAATTAGAAATGATAATAAAGTAAGGATAATTTAACCAAGGGACATTTGTATTCCCAGGGGCACAATCCAGTTGTAAAATGATCATACTGTATGAACACAGACAATATATAATAGTTGTTAAATGTACGTGATCTCGTAAAAATGGAAAATTTTATTAACCTCTTAGCTACTCTCTCTTTACTTGGTATCTATACAGCAACGTTTATTGTTAAGATTGTGTAATTATACGGTACATCAGTTTACATTCTCCTTGAATGGGTTTGTAAACTAGCCGATTATATTTTACACATGAAACCTGATCTTCTTGTCAGTAGCCAACATTTGTCAAAACTGATTCTGGAAGTTTATTAAAAAATGTATAAATGATAGTTCTGATAAGTCAAAAGAAACTCAAAATTCCTTACACAGCTTCAAAAATAACATGTGCCACTTAAATGGAGCATAATTTAAAATATGACATAAATGCCATTATAATGTTGTAAACTTGAGAAATGGCCTGGAAAAAGTAAAAGTTGTTGCTTTTAGTAACTAAGAGGTTAAAAGTTTAAATCCTGTACAATTTAGTTCAAACAAACCGACTTTTTTCAACCACTCTTCACTTGGTACACTTTCCTGTGTCAACATTTAATTTTTGAAAAGTAGTTATGTCGAAAGTTTATTGTGCCATGAGAGATTACTAATTTTTTTTTTTTTTTCAATTAGTATTGTGATCAAAACGCATGCTGAAAAGAAAGTGCTTTTGATCTTATTCATGCCATTTCATTAGTTGCTTTTTCTTTTGACTTGTAAAATTTGTTAGTTATTTTTAAAAAAAAGAGAAAAGGAGTAGATATTGTAAAAAAGCTTTCTCGGCAAGTGAAAGCGTTACCTTAAATCGGCCAACGGGAGAAAATCTGTGTCGATCAAAGTCCGAAGACTCGGTAAACTGTAAGCGACGATATGGCCGTTTGAAATGTAACAAACCAAACAGACGCTTTCTGTAACATCCGATAAAATTAATATTTAAGCGTATAAATTTACTAGATCGGACAACCTTTAAGAGAAATAATTTCAGCTTTCACTACAAAATCAGTTTCAGTTATTTGCTGCTTGTATACGATGTTATGGGAAGGAAGAGCAGCGACGATTGCCTGTTTTTCACTTACGATCACCACAAACTGTCTATCACAACTGCTGACTTCCCCGATTGCAGTGCCAGGAGGAGACATCCTGCTATTGCTATTTGCTCTAGAGGATCCTGAAACGAAACAAAATTTAAAATAAAAAGTCTGAAAAGAATAAAATGAATAAATATACTCACGGCTTTGTTTTTCTTTACTTTCGTCTTTCCAACTTTCGAATGTGTAAGGAATTAAAGCACCATTGCAATCAAGGAAAGACATGGTTAAAATGGACCCTTTTAAGCGAAACATTGTGCCTGGAAATTATTTTTTAGTGGTGTAAGTAGTCGTTAGATTTTTTTCTGCAAATATTATTTATTACCGAATGGCCCAACAGCAACAGGGTGAGTCAGTCTAATATCAGATGAAGGTACGTTGAGCATCACAGTCAAAACTGATCCAAGGCTTGTGCCAAACCACAGAGTAGGGAATGTCGAAGGGTCTGCATTTATATTTAAAAAAAAAAAATTAAAATATTTTCCAACAATTTTATTTTCAAATTTTATACCTGATTTTTTTGTATATGAATCCGCAAATGTAATGCACTGAACAGCTTCTGAACTTATATTCTCTAGGCTTGACATACTAGAACTTCTTGATCTTGAAAATGAACTGTCTAATTTATCTGTAAACATTTAAAACTGAAATGAGACTATGGGAAGTTCAACTGTGTACCATTTAAAACACAAACAAAATATTCTATTTTCAATTTTTTTTGTAATTATATCAAAATAACTAATCTATATATATTTTAACCAAAAGACATGCAAAACATGCAATTATTTAATTCAAAATAAATCTTGCTGTATTTTATGATTTTATAAAATTATGCATACGACAAATTTATGCAGAAATTAATTTAATACTTACAAATGATTAGGGCCCCATTAAAAATTAAATTAATGGGGTAAAACAGGACTTAATTTTCAACAATAAGGAAATCGATTGGAAGTGGAAAGTGTTTTGTAACCTCCATCGAAATTACATCTTTTTGCAAAAAAAAGTAATTCGACTAAGAGTAATCACGATCAAAAAGCATTCTCTGTTCTGCGGGTATGAAAACTTACATCTTCCACATAATATTTTCTTTTCCCATTTTTTTAAAAATTCAATTAAAGATGGATAAGTGTTCGATTAAATATTGTTAATGTACACAAAACTGCATGTTGATGGAATACTCTAAATTGTGGTTTCAGACTCAAGAATTTAAATGCCTGAATAATTGACTAAGATTTATGTTAGCCACTGTATATTTAACCCTTAACGCCACAGGTTTGTCTGTTGAATGCGTGGTTGACATACCAACTACCCCGTTTTTAAATGCTTACTAATTTTTTCAACATTCAAAAATTTAAATAATGTTAATGAGTGGTGGCGAATTAAACGATTATTTATTTAACAAGATGGAAAGAACAAAATGTTATGAACATTGTTGTAGAATGCACTCTTTACAAAAATTGTAAAGAAATAATGCAAAGTTCCTGATGCAAAAATATGCCAAAGGCGACAGCTCCCGAGCCAACCGGAGCCTGGCAGACCTACTTTGCCGGATACTTTGAACTGTCGCCACTTTTGCATCTCACAGACTAGCTAACTTTTAAGAAATGGAAAGAAGAAACTTGACTAGACCTTAAAATACTGGCTGAGATTTAGTTGTTGCATCTGGCTTGCACGAAACCAAACTAGCTAGGAAATATATCGTGTAGTGTTGAGGGTTAAGAATGACTAAGATTGTTAATATGTCTACGCTGGTCCCCATCTTTCTAAGTTGTTTGTAAAGTAAAAACAAAAATAATTTAAATGACCATACAAAAACGGCTGTAAATCGGACGGGGCGATCACCCAGTTGATCTGAGATTTAGTTGTTTGTCTGGCTAGTGCAAAACCAAAAGTTGTGTCAAAACTATGAAAGACAAACCTGTGGTTTTGAGGATTAATCAATAAACTTACTGAAAAGATAATAGTAGTGACAGAGAGGTAAATATTGAGCCATTGAACAAAAATAAAATGTGCACTTATTCTGTTAATGATTGTGTTAGAGATGTCGACTCAAATTTCCTAAAACTGAGAACCACAATATATAATATTTTCCAAAAACTGATGATTGGTCACAACATTATTGATCAATAATGCAATTCTCTATTGCGCAATATCAATTTTAGCATCCTGGAACTGTACACATACATTTTGAACGAGTGAAAGGTATCAAAAAAAAAATTCTAACAATCCTCATATAAAGGTTGATGAAATGATAAAATATATGTCTCAGGGATGTATTATGTGAAAAAATAGCTAAATAAAAACTTACAATGTGTACGATTCCATTGTTCTAATATAAGCCAAAACACCAGCGCAGTAGCCAAGCATGAAACCCAAGATCAGCCAATTTATTGTACAATATTATGAGTAAAAATTGTATATTGTAATATTGTGAGGGTTCTTTTTTTCTTTTTTTGCTTTTTAATGAGGTGTAGGAAAAAGGAAAATGAAAAGTAAGATGTGGGAGAAGTATAAAGAACTGGCATGCATTGAACAAGCAAGCAAAAGCATAAAAAATAAATGAAAATGTTTTGTTTTCACAACAGTAACAGAAAGTTATAGATAGAAAATAGTTTTACATAAATGCCTGCGGTTATTTTCTGTTGTGTGAGAAAAAAATGAAACATTGTAAATAAACCAATAAAGAAAAAAGTATGAAAAATTCTCAATAAGTTGTTATATTGAGTAACAGTGCTGTGATTAAATAAATAAACGTTAAAATTAAACAGAAGTGCAGATTTTTGATTGACAAATATAATTTCAGTCAGATATAAATATGTTTTCACAAAATTGACACTTATGTTCACCCTTTCCATTTCAATGTTTAGTAACTGAAGAAACACACAATTCAAAGAAAAAAGATGTTTTATGCCATGTGCAACATACTGCATAATGATGATGCAGAGTACATGGTGTTAATTAGACTCATTTATAATTTTTAGAATAATTTTGTACATTGTTTAAATATTTGTCACTGGATTAAAAAAAAACATTAATAACAATTCTTTTAAAAATATTATTATTGCGTTATTCTTACATAACGCATTGAAGATTTTTTCTTTTAAATTTTGTGTTTACAAAATTAGAAATGTCCTGTTTATATATATATGGAAATAAGAAAATTTCACATTAAATCGACTTTAGTCTAAATCAAAATCGAAGCAATATATTGCATTAAGTACAGATAAAAAGAGTACATATAACAACAGTCGGAAGATAATTAAAGTGTAAAGAGATAAAATAAATTGTAAAGCAGAAACCCTGTTATAGAAACAGCAGCCAGGCCTTATAATAATGATAACGATAATAAATGATAATATTAAATTTGATAGTACGTCACCTAGAAAATTCCATGCTAGGAGAGCCTAATTGAGAACTTGTAGAAAATTTTCCAATACTTCATTTATTAGTTCATAACTTTGATTATTGAAAAATAAAAATTTAAATACAATAAATTGACAATCAATATTTGCCTGCCCACTCCTGCGCCAGTAAGATTTAAAAAACAAAAACAAAATTTAATAGATAAATCAATTTTTTTTCCGGCACGTACAAAATTTTTGGCAATTTTTTTGTTTTTGCAGGTGCCTTTTATTTTTATTTTTTGAATTTTTTTTGTTCTGGATGAGATAAAAGGGTTTATACTTGAGGTGACTGTACTACCAAAGCTAGCGTACTGTCGCGAGCCTATGAGGTTATGCCGTGCAGGGATTGGCTCCGAGTATGAGAGCGTAGAGAGGCATTTAGTGAGTCGTCGCGTACCTTGTGACCTTGAGCGTCGTACTTCACGACCTTGTCTTGCGGGGGAGCCAGCGGAACCTCCTCCACTTACACCATTTAACTGAAACACAAGACACAACCCCCAACGATACTAACTTTTTCCTCTCTTTCTGAGCACACTCTCTCTTCATTGTTACCTTGACACAATATTCATTTTAACAACTAAAAAAAAAACTTGCTATATTCAATAACTGAATTACTGCCATTTAGCTATTTGAATGTTTGAAGAAGCCACTTTTAAAATTCTAGAAAGAATATCAATATAGTGCTTGTTTTCTTTATATTAAAGAATAATGAACAAACTAAAGAATTAGGACAAATTTTGCAAAAAAATATATTTTTTAAATTATTGGTATCCATTTATAAAATTATAATAGAACTATTTAATCATGAAATGTGGTCTGTCGGGTGATGAACTTGTAATTTGGGTATTACTGACCATTTTTGTTTGCCTATTCTCATTGTTTTGGTTTGTCAGACGTTTTGCCATCTTCAGTGTTGGGTCTGGTTTGATAGTTTTGAAAGATCTGACAGGACCACCTTCTTTGCTTATTTAAAATAATTTATTAGTGTAATAATGTATATTTTCCTGGTCAATCATTATATACTCAAAAATTACGATTTTAAAAGAAAAGACGGTGTCCCCGTTTGACCTTTTATAACTACTATTAGCCCAAACTCAACACTGAAGATGGCGAATTGCCGTGTCTGATGGACCAATATGGTCAGTAACGAACAAATTACAGTTCTTAAAATTATCAAATATTTCAACTAATTTAAAATAAATTTATGCAGTATAATTTCCCTCCCAGATTTTATGCTCCAATTGAAAAAAATTGACTTTATGGAATTTACACGGAACTTGTGCCTTCTGAAAGCCAAGCATGTTTACTTTAGTCATAACACCACAGATATAAGAGATTTAATTGCAGATTAATTTAGAAAATTTTCACATATCTTATTTAATTGAAGAAAAATACAATATAAAATAATTTTCGTCAAATTTTTTAAAACAATGCATACTTATACAATTTATACAACCCAGCCGTGATCATTTATTATTTAAAGATTAAGGTTTAATTAATTAATGTCTCCTAAGTAGCTTTAGTTGAAAATTAATTATGAGGCAATTATTTTTTAATATCTTTCAAACTGTAATTGATTGATGTGTAATCAGGAAAAGACAGAATTTATTAAGGACAGGAACAACTGATTAAAAAGAGGCTTCCTTTAAATATCTTCAACAAAAGAAATAATCCTTACACTAAGACAAGACTACATAATACAGGGAGTTTACCTTTTGTTATTTGATGATAAAAAAAATAAATAAATAAAAATAATAAAACGATAAACAAATACAAAACAGCTTGCATTATCTTTTTAGTGCCTAGTGCTTAGTCGTGAACATTTTTCTATGTTATAACATTGTACAATTTTGAAACCTACGTTATCTAATGTGAGTTTGTTAGTGAGACTTTTTTTTTTTAATAATTTGTTTTTCTTTCTTAAAACATTTTGTCAGAAACTAAATCATAGCTACTTTAAAGCACACAATCTATTGAAGCCGCTACATAATAATTACGATTTAACAATAATACGAGAAAAATTAACTTATACCAAAAATGTACTTTAAGCAGCTTGACTCCACATCAGAATCCTAAATATAACAAATATTAAATGAGATTCACATTAATCATAATAATTATTGTAATTATAAATTAAGAAAGGTAATGTCATACTTCAATTCATATTTTATGAACAATAAAACAGGCAGAGTAATTAACATTATGTAAATGTTCAAAACGT